GCCACATGTGTAACCTTGAGCTATCTTTTGGTACATTCAGAGAACAAATAAGTATGGAAGGTAGAGTAAAGGCTATCCATTACCTCAAATCCATTCCTAAATTACGGCAGACTGTCAAAGAGACATGCCTCCAAACCAAAGCTCTCTGCTCTCATTATTGAACTGCTTTTACGAATTGAATTGCTCTTGTTTTATTGGGGGTTAATAAAAGTCTACATTGAGAGTCTTTTTTTGGTTGTTGTTTTGTTTTGAGATATGAGATAGGGTCTTGCTGTGTAATCCAGGCTGGTCTGAAACTCACTGTGTAGTCCAAACTGTCCTTGAAGTTGCAATCCTTCTGCCTCTGCCTTCCAAGTATAGGATTACAGGCATACACCACTACACCCAGTTTACACTGAGATTCCTTATGGACCAAGCATGTGAAATTCATACTTACAGAAACCATCTTAAATCTCAATCTTATCTAGGAAATATAGTTATAAATGAATGAGAATGAATGAACAAACAAATGAATATAATTTGAGAAATTCTTAACTTCCCAGCTGAGTTTTTGTGGTATTGGGGTTTGAACTCAGGGCCTCATGCTTGCTAGGCAAGTGCTTTACCACACCCCAACCCTTTTTGCTTTAGTTATTTTTCAGATAATGTCTCTTGTTTCTTCTTGGGGTCGGCCTCAGCCCACTATTCTCCTATCTCTGCTTTCCAAGTAGCTGAGAGTATAGGCATGAACCTCCATGCCCTTTTTGTTATTTGAGATAGGGTCCTACTACCTTTTTTGTCTGGGCTGTCCTTGAACCTTGACCCTCCCTAGTGGCTGGGATTAAAGGAATGAGCCACCATGCCTCACCACCAGCTAGGTTTTATGATCATAGAGATATAAAAGGAAAAATAGTGGATTGATCTTTTTTGAACGCTTACTTATATGCTAGGCCCTTTTTCAGGTGCTTTACTAACATTATAACATTCACTCCTTTCTTCATGTCCTCCCTATGAGGTGGGTATTATTAGTCCCATTTTACAGATGAGGAAAATTCGGCAGAAAGGTAATTATAGTGTAATGGAGACATTAAGATTCAAATGCAGGAGTGTCTCACTCTAGTGCCTGTGCTCTTTCCAGAACTCCTCACTCTTACATGATCCAGGAAAGTATTATTCCTTCTGTTTCTCTGCCACAGTCAAGATGAAAACCACAGAGTGGAAGTCAAACTACTTCCTGCTTCCTGGCTAAGGTTTTTCTTGAGATTTCTGGTAACAACATGTGCTTCTGTTTCCCCCTGCTGGCAGCCACATGCATCCTGTTTTGTCTTTGTAAACCCCTCATTCTGTAGGAGAAACCATCAGGCAAGAAGCCAGTTCATAGAGTGAATAAGCTTATTCACTCTGTCAACTAAGGGAGGAAGAAATTCTCCTCTGTCTTCCCTGGGGATAAATCCTTTCTTCTCTCACTTGTCTCCCAGTTTTCGTCAGACTTCATCTGCCTCCAGATATGGGAAGAAAGCTCAGATTCTGCCATCTAGACCATCGAAGTTTGAACGGTGGTCTCTTGCTCAACTGGGGCATTCGGTGGCCTCAGTTTATAGCACTCACCACCACAATGACATCCAACAGACCAGTAGGTAGCAAACAGTGCTGCGATAAAGCCGGGCCTGGTCTTCTCACAGAGGTTGTGGGGCCCACGGGGATCAGGCCCTGCATAGCCTGGTCCGTCATCTGGGCAGCCTTTGTCAGAGGCACCTGTCACACACACACACACACACACACACACACACACACACACACACATGCAGACATGCATGACGTGTGCACACAAATGCATGCATGCATGCACAGACACAGATACACATACGTGTGTACACAGGCTCACACACATGCACATGCACACACCCTGTGAAACATGGTTTGCTCTTCGGGGTGGATTGTTAGGCTTTTCTTTGTTTCCCTTTCCTGGACAAAATGGGGGAAAAACCCATCCTGGGGGGCGGGGGAACTTGTTTCTAACTGTTGGAAAAAAAGAAAGCAGGAATTGTTGTCACGACAATTAGGAGCTCATCAAAGCCTCATTTTGCTCATCAGCCACCACGGCCCTCAGCCTGCACCCCCGCATGGTCTTCTAATTCAATGCCCACTAATGAATAATTCTCAGGAACAAAAGACCCTTTCAGACCAGCTCACGTAATTATTAGAGGAGCGTTGCCTAACTGTCGCAGGCTACTCCTGTTTGCAGGCCTGTCTCTAAATTTGGTTATTCACAACCTTTATGGCTCAATATTATTGCCTAACTGTGATCATTTTCTAATTATCCTAATAATACCTATTAAATAATTCCCATTAAGTCACTTGAACCGGAGCAGCACAGGCCAGCTCAAATACAACTTAACCTAATAAGCATTGGTCATTCATTAAACAACAGGGCAGTCTCTTAAAGGGACTGGGGAGGATGCTGAATCGCAAAGGAATATCATTATTGCACAAATGTTATTACAAGTTAGAGTGTATTAATTTTGATGGTCTGGCTTGCAGACCTTCCATTTGGTTTCCTTTGAGGACACACTCTGTGACTCGACTCTTTTCATCTCTAGCCCCCTTATTGATTTGTGACTGTCACCCTCATAAGGACATTCAAGCAGAAAAAGTAAACTTTAACAGAGGAATTAAATTACCATAGATATAATAAGAATGAATGGGATCTATCTTCTGACTGATTTGGCCCACCTTTGAAAACCTGGTCAGCTGGTAGGATTTCTTTAGGTATGTCTCAAAATAGCTTTCTTTCTTTCTTTCTTTCTTTTTTTTTTTTTTTGTTACATTTGGGGAGGAGGGAGATTTTCAGAAGAAGCTTTTAAAATTGGTATCTATAATTTAAATTTCAAGCAGTAAAGGTTACAGAGGTAGATATCTCTTTTAAAGTGTCTTCTGTGGATGTTTAATGATATTTAGTAAAATAATACTAAGTAGTGTTTATTAAAGCCTACCTATAGTAGACACTCTGGTAGATACTTTGCCACCAATACCCCGATTCTGAAAATGACCTCAGAATGTAAGGATTATTGTCTCTGTTTTTTCCTGATAAGGAATCTTATATATTAAGCTATTTTCCTAGGTCTACCCAGCCTAAATGGACTGGAACAGATTTAAACACAGGGTTCTTTGAAGCTTACAAGTCTACTTTCTCACCACGCCACAGGTCACCATGGATTGGTAGAGGTAAATTCAAACATGCTGTAATTTTTGTGGTGTATCCTTTCCTTTTCTAAGGCCCTCATTGCATTTAGAAAACTGTTCACGACAAATGCCAGAGCCTCCTTGATTGGGAATGTTACCAAACACCAAACAAGAGCAGTTCACTTTGCCAAAAGTTCCCAAAGTAGTTGGAGAGACAGGCCATGACTCTCAGTTCAAACAGCAAGAAACAGTCATCGTTTTTGTACTGAAGCCAACTTCTGATGAAAATCCAATGCAGGTTCTCTTTACAAGGAAACACACAGTGTATTTTAGTAAGAAAAGGAATAAATACTGATTAATCATCCTTTCCATGCCAGGCCCTGGGCTAAGGCTTTCACGTAAGTTGTTTTAGCAACTCCTCACCACAAATTTGTATAATCATTGTTCCTACTTCACAAACAAGGAAACTGAGGCACAGAGGGGGAAAGTCTACCTCCAGCTAGTGACAAATGAGCTACTTGGCTCCTGAGCTGAAGCCTCTGGGCAGTCACTTGGTTGCCCTTGCAGGACTGTGGAAGCATTGCTCACACTTTCGCAGTATGACTTTGTGTGAGCTTTGGAACTACCACTGCTAGTGTCATGATTCTCAAATGACCAAACTTTGAAAGAGTTGAAATCTTAACCTTTCACTAGGTTGTTTAACAAAGTCACATGTTGTTTGCACAGAGGTATGTGTGTTCTGTGTTTGATTTTTCACATTTTATATCCCAAACACAGAAGACCAAAGGCATTATATTGTAAAACTAAAGAGACAATACCCCCAAAATCTCAAAGGGCCCCTCCAATTCATTGACTTCCCACTGCTGGAGGGTGTTGGATACATTGAGATATCTTTCAACCATGTTTTACCTGAAAACTCTTCACAGGCCCCTCATTTGTTAAAGTATTTCATGTGGTGGTCTCTGCAGGCTCCATTCATTCATCTCTCCCTTCACTGGCGTGTTCTAGCTCTTCCTCCCCCAGGTATCTTTACCCACTACTCTCTCCAGGAGGCCTGGCCTGATGGCTGCCCTCCCCCCGTAATCTCCGTTCTGTTCCCATTGCCCTCTGATGCTGTTCCTAGCATAGCACATGTTGTACCAGGTTGGGGTTTATCCATTTACCTGTCTGTGTCCCTCAGTAGACAACTTACTGCCTATTACACACACCCAGGTCGTGATGTCCAGCACATGGCAAGTCTTTCCCAGAGAGGCTCAGCTTGCATTGAGAGTCAGTGAGTTAGTGGGATGGTCACAATTGATTGCCTTACCATGGACCAGGCAATGCGCCAATTAAACGAATCATAATTTTTCTTTAGTTCTTATATCAGCTCCATAAGATAGGAAACCATTATTTGTCCATTGCAGATGAGAAGACAAAAGTTTATGAAAGTTTATTATCATCTGGCTGACCCAAGTCATACAGGTAGTGAAGGGAGAAAGCAGGACTCCAACTCTGGGCATTGACCACTCACATTGCATTAACACTCAAATATTTCTCCCAAATGTATCCTAACCTCTGAATGGCAGAAAACATTTGCGCCAGGCAAGAAAGACTGAGCACACCAGTGACCCACTACAAGGCCTATAGCTGGACCAACAGCCAGAGGAGTTTCAGGTTGAACCATGAATTTGAGTCCTAATGCGTGAAGCAGCCTGGATGTAGCGCCATATGTCTGTGTTGGCAGACTCCCTGAGGATAACAAGGTCTCTTTGTTTTGCACTGGGGATAGGCCAGCACTGTTCTCAGACCATGGACACAGACCCACACCCACTGTGCTACACCTGCCAATGCCATACCTGCTTCTCCTCGCAGCGCCTTCTCCAGCCTCACACCGTAGATCTCATAAGCCCTCTGCTGCTCCTCCACTTCTTCCAGCTGCCTCTGGATGGCCTGCAATGCCAGGATCACATGTCACAAGGGGACTCTGGACACATAGAGGCACGTGAGGGAGCGATTCTGCCACTGACTCTCCAGGGGAAAGAGGCACTGTCACTAGTGATGCCACTGCCCTGATAAAGTGGTGGGGACCTCTGAGTTCCCCAACAGTGGATCTTGATATTTCCCCCATTAGTATGTAACGTAAAACAAGGCATCTGTGGGCACTGTCAACCTGCCCCCAGTAGGCATCAAAATGGTCCTCTCTAACACGTCCACTCGTAGCAGAGTCCTCTTAGACAAGGGCTCTTGGGCTAGGTGGGTGGTCCTCATGGTTCCTGGATTATGGTCATGGCACAATGCCCAGAGCTGTTGCCACTCCTCAGAGGCATATTTTATTTTCCCAGGAGGAAGCAGCAGATACCTTCTAAGAAGGTGGGATGGATAGAAGACCTGGGCTAGCTCCTGGGCCTTTTCCAGGTTGTCCTGTCCCTGTCCTTAGCTACAAATGGCACTTCTTCTTTCCTTGTACATCTGACTGATGCCCAGGGTACTGTCATTGTAGACATGCTTGTGACTTTGTCACCAGCAGATTATGAAGACAAGACACATATGTTTAGCTCACCAGAGGATGGCTTGTGCTCTCGTTAGCACTAACTAACTTTAGGATCATTGTTTGGGATTGCAATTACATCCATTTATTTTTCCTGTTAGCTATTACTCTTTTGTGTATATTAGGAGGGGAAGTTAGGGGAAGGTGTTTCCTGTCTAAGTTTTGCTCATCTCTATCAACTCTCTCTGCTTTTAAAAGGCACACCTCTTGGCAGAACAGACTTTGCACCGGGCAGAGTTTATTAAAGGAACTGTCAGCTGTCTGGACAGACAGGACACTTGTGTTCCTCCTCTACCACTTCCACCCTGTCTCATTCCCCTTCCTCACTAGCCCTACATCTTTCTAAATCTCCCCTGAAACCATGGGTACAAGAGCAGAAGCACCTCCAGTGCTAAGAAGACATGGTGGGGCCTGAGTAGACACCTGGCTCTTCTTGTTCCAGCTATAATATTTAAGCCCAAACATAAGAATCTGAAATAGATGGGAATTCTATTTGTAACTACTTGCAATTTAATGCCCTCTTCCTCTCTGAGTCTTTTAAAGACAATTATATCTTTATAAACCTCTCTCTTGCTGGTAGGGTATAGAAAACCATCAGTCTGTGGTATTTTTGTGATGGTAGCCCAAGCAAACCAGCACAGTGGTCATGGTTCACAAACTAAAGGTGAAATTCTCAGAGATTCAAAAGGGAGGGCCTCCATGGTGCTAGCAGGTAGGACTCGAATGGACTGTAGTTCTCCTATTACACTGGTGGCCTGCAGTGAGAAAGTGTGAGTTTGTCAACTGGTATCATAAAGACTTGCTTTGTTCTTAGAAGGAAAAGTTGAAATGTTTCAAGGAAACCTATTTCAGAAGTTGAAAATAGACAGAGGTGAGTTGAGAGTTGTCCCTGTCCTTGACATGAATGGAAGAAGGCTGGTGTGGTCTCATGAGTGCTCCTGAGCCAGTCACTGGGAAGTCAGAGTAAAGTAGGTTGGATTAGTGACTTCTCAGAAGCAACTTACAGGACGCTATTGTTTGCATCTGGAATGTTGCCCAAAGGCCCATGTGTTAAAAGCTTAGTCCCCAGCCCATGATGTTACTTGGAGGTAGTGGAACCTTTAGGAGGTGAGTCTAGTAGAAGGAAGTTAGTCATTGGGGTGTGTTCTTGAAGGGGATATTGGAACCCCAGCCTACCCCCACACCCTGCTCTTTGCTTTCCAGGCACCATGAGGTAAGTAGGTTGTTCCATCACACATTACCAGCCATGGTGTGCTGCCTTGCTACAGGCCCAAAGCAACAGGGCCAACTGATCATAGACTAGAATCTCTGAGACTGTGAGATAAAATAACCCTTTTTCTTTTTAAGTTTTTTGCCTCAGGTATTTTGCCACACTAATGGGAAGCTGATTAACACATAAGATTATATAGCCAACTAAAGAGCATACTGGAGAAAGTGATGGAAGGGTACATAGCTTAACATGAATGGTCATCTCAAGGACATCTCTTATGTCCTAAAAATCCAACTGTTCTTCAAGACAAGGCTTGGGGTTTTCAGGGAGATGGAGAATGCCTAGACTTTCTGCTTCATTTTGCTTATCTGTGACAGAGATAGGCTGCTCACTTTGGTCAGATATGTTTATAGTAAATCATCAGGCCAGGAATCTATATTGAAATGCTAGATATGTATTCTTTCAACTAATTCTGAAGTGGAGTCGGCCCCTAATAGCTGTCAGTTTAGAAAAGACACAGAGTTGGTAGAAGACTGAACTATGGTCACTGTTATGAGCAGACAGGCTTCAGGATGATGTCCAAGGCCACATTGGCTGTTGTCCCACCCCCACTCTGCAGGACACATGTCTATAGATGGAAAGATGGCTGGGAGTGAGCCAGCTCAACACCTGGGCTCTGCAGGCCCCAGAGTCCCACTGGGGTTTGAGCCAGGGCCTTTAAAATGGCCACAAACCTTGTCCCTCGGATAAGAGAGACAAGCCTGTCCCCAGTCTGCCTCCCTCAATATAGTACAGAATTCCCAAAGGATTTTCCCATCCAGATTCCCAGGCCCCGCAGGCCCCTGGCCCAGTCACTCTTCTCCAGTTGCTTTCTGACCTGAGCCTTATGGAGTCTTTTCAATTCTTCTTGCTTAACTTGTTGCTTTGTTGCTTTTTCTAACTTCCTTCTTCTTCTGAGTGTCTTCTTTTCCTATAAAAACCAAGAGAAGAAAAAGGACTGAGAAAAATAGGGTTGAGATTTACAAAATATCATCAGATCCTTTGTCCTCTCCTTCCAATGGTTCCTGGCCATGGTTGAGCTTCTAGAATAATGATATCCCATAGAATTTCCTGCAATGATTGAAGTGATCTGAAATAGGAATGCCAACCAGCTGCATGGGACTGTTGGGCACTAGAAATAAGCTGTGGATCAGACATTGAATTTTAAATTTTATTAAATATAAATGTAAATTTAAGTAGCCACCTGTGGCTAGTAGGAAATGGGAAGCTTGTGTGTAGTACTAGTAGTAGTAGGGAGTGGTCTTATCAAGTACTGACAGGGCTCAGTTGAGGAGAGGGATTACATGGATGCTACCATACTACCCAGAAATAATGGGTTTGGGAGAGACAGGCAGACAGACAGACAGACAGACAGACAGACACACACACTTTCTACATGAAAACCAATGAACACCTTTAAATATCTCCTAGGTTAGGGCTACAATCTCTAACTAAACCTATGAATAGGAGAATATATCTAAATGACTCAAATGAAAGTGTTTCTTGTTTGAGATTACTTAAGATTATTTTCTGTTCCTACCTCACTTTGCTGGTACAAATCCAGCATCATCAGCACTTGGTTTTGTGTGTGGGTATGTGTGTGTGTTTGTGTGTGTGTGTGTGTGTGTGTGTGTGTCTGGACTTATTAAAATATTTTTCAAATCACATTTAAAGGTAACACATGTAAAAGATGCCTGGATCTTGCTGGCATCACTTTCTCCAAAGAAAGGAGAAGTGGTGGTGCAGCCACTTCTACCTATTGGAAAGTTTTTCTGAGTAGAGAGGCAGTAGAGAAATTGCTGCGCCCTGGGCCCAGGAGACAGGAGAAGCTGCCATCATGTTCCAGCTGAGCTGTGTAAGCTTCAGCAGGTCCCTCAACTCTCTGCACTTAGAGTAATGAGAAAATTCATGCCCACCTCACAGGAATACAATAAGGAGTAAATGAGATGCCACAGGCCAAGCCTCTGGTAGAATGTATCAAGAAGAGATGGGATGAATATTTATGAATATTTAGTACATGGTATTGTATAATAAATTAGCATGAGTTTTTTTTTTTATCAAGGTCTATTTTTCTGTGTGTGGGACTGTATCTTTTATACAAACATATACATCCTGACTGTGGAAGTAGATGTTCCAGTTGGAACATCTGTAAGTTTGCCTGCTCTGAGCATATCCATCTACTAGAACTGATTCTTTGCTCATTAAATGCTCATAAATCCACAAGTGGGAAATGGAGACCTCAAAGACCCCCTGCCAGAGCAACATGGATCCTAAACGCAGGGCACACTGTACCTTGAAAGCACATATATCCCAGAGCTCTGGGGAACCTTGTCATTCTGTCCCTCACCCTGTGGATATGCATGGAGAAACCATCGCTTTTCCTAAGAAAGCATCTAGCTTGAGGCCTCAGAACCTCTACAGACCATCAGTGCAAACACCCATCTCCATAATGAAATTTGTCTAGAACTTTCCTTAGGACTTAGAATCCTAAGGATCTTCTTTATCCTTGGAAGGAAAGTTTTGGTTCTTAAAAGTCAACATAGTCCACATTGTTTCTAGGAAGTGACCTCCAGATAGACTTTGGAAGTCTCTTTGGAAGGGGGTTCTAGGCCTTTTGCATGCGGCACCCTCCATTAGGCAGCTAGGATCTTTTAGAAAAGGCAAGGTGGGGGAGAGGTGGTAGGGATCAATGTGATTACTATCCAGAGATTATCTAACTCAGTCTACATGGAGAGCCAGTTCATTTATTTAATGAGCATCTCTGGAGCTCCCATCACAGGAACCCGCATAATAAATCCTAGCATTTATTGAGTGCTACGTGCCAGACACCGAACTAATGACTTTACACGTATCATCTCATTTCCTCCTCAGATTGTACTTATTTTATAAATATGCAAATTAAAACTTAGAAAGGTTAAAAAACTTGCCCAAGTTGACACAATTAATAATTGGTAGAGCCAGGAATTAAGCTCAGGTGGCTCGAACCCTGTACCCACATTCCCATCTGCACTGCCTTTCTTTATGTGGTTATTGCTGGTCAGGCCTATCACAGACCCCTGCTTTATAGAAAAGAAACGTCAGCACTCCCCCCAACGGGACACCATCTAATACAGCTTCCTGGTGGTGGTGGGGTGTGTTACCTCAACAGAGCCATGTGGTCTTTCTCAGCAGCAAAGCTTTCACCTCAGCTGCTTTGTTGAGAGTCAGCAAAACAGAGCCCGGGGTGAGAGAAGAAAGTCACTTACTGGCTTTTGTTAAAAAGTTGTTAAAGAGAGGGTGAAGGGGGGTGAATATGACCGAAGTACTTCAGATGCATGTAGGAAAACGAATAATGAAATTCATTAAAATTGTTTAAGAAGTGGGCAGGAGGGATAAAGAGTAAGGGGATAAATGTGATCAAAGTACATCATATGCATGTATGGAAATATCACAATGACACACCTTTGGAGAATTAATATATGCTAATAAAAAAGAGAAAAAAGATGTTAATGCAGAAACGAAGGGCACTTTATTAGCAAACTCATGAGCCTTACCAGATACAAGCCCAGCTCTTACATCCTCAGAGTTGGTGATGATGAACAGAAGCTAGGAAAGAGGCAAAGGGCTGAGAAGGAAAGAGACAGTAAAGAGAAAGCAAGAAGGCCAGCAGATGGACTGTCAGAGTGGCTCAAGTGGTAGAGCACCTGCCTAGCAAGTGTGAAGCCGTGAGTTCGAACCCTAGTACTGCCAAAAAAAAAAAAAAAAGCAAGGTCGACAGAACTAAGGCCATGCTGCCATGTGATCTTCCATCTCAGTCTCTCAGATCCAGAGAGAGTTTGGGAGGAGAGGCAGTAGTGGCAGGGGCAAAGAAAAGCAAGAAGCAGAGAGAACACATCCTGCCTCCAGTTTCCTGTACAAAGGTTCATTTGAGCTGGTGTGGGCTCTGTGCCACCTGGCTGGGGACGTACCTGCATGGGACAGAAGAGACAAAGAAACCAGAGGCCAAAAACCTCCCCTTGCTTCTTCAGTGTGAGCCCTTGGGAAGTCATAAAGAAGGAGACTGCTTGCCAGCCTCCCTTCCTGTAAGAGCTGGCCACATTAGAAGCCAGGCAAAGTGGGCATGTCTTACTACCTGGCAAGCTGAAATGACAGCAGGAAGACAAGGAGCTATTTGTGAGGCTAGTTCAAGATACCATGGTCCTGCCTTCGATGTGTTTGAGCTACCCCATTCTTCTCCTGAGTATTGGGATGACTGATGCTGCAATCTCTGTTTCATTTCAATATAAAATTAACTTAGGGTCATTTAAGGGCAGTAAGAAAACTCTAGAAATCAACACCACACAATCTATTTGTGTTGAGTATCAAACTAATCAGAGAAGCTCACATTTAGCAATGAGAAATCCAAGCATGAGCTTCTCTCTTTCTTTGTCTCTCCCCCACCCCTCATCTCTCCAGCTTCCTTTTGCCTTGCTCCAAACTGGACCACGGGGAGTTGGAACCCCTGAGTGACTTGAGGTGATGCCAAAGCTCCCCAGAGGATCTGAGGATCCTCCCTCCCCAGATCCTCGTTGCTCCAAAAAATGAACATTACCAGAGTAGTGAACCACTTATCGGTAAGCACTGTAGGTCCATCCATGCAGTACCCCACCCCACTTAGTCCCAGGGGAGGAGCTGCAGCCTCAGTGGATAAACAGAACAACAGTGGGCTTTCATTGTGGATGTACGTCTCTGTGTATGTGACAGACAGACACCACAGACATGACAGTCTTGTGTTTGTTATCTATGGGTACGAGAGCTGTTTAAAGTGTTTTGTTTTTTGTTTTTAATAGAAATACCAACATTCACTAAGTGAAGAGGGTGACCACCTCCACAGTAGGCACATGGCTCTTCCCTTCTACAGTAGGCTCCTTGAGTGTCCATGTCTCGGTGGGACTGTATGGTTCGTTTCATAGCTCTGATTAGAATAAACGTAACATTTTCCATGCAATCTGCCTCTAGTGCTTCTCAAATGAAGCTGTGCCTCCCTCGGGGAAATAGGCATCTGCTTGTTGTAATTTTTCAATGGTTTGCTTGTTGGACCACATATTAAAGCCACTTTAAGAGCTGCAGTCACCAAATGGTTTCAAGTAAATATGTCTTTTTTTGTTTCCCTTCCCCAATTTGAGTCTCTGAGAAAATATTCTTTAAGGAGACAAATCTTGGGGTGTTCCAGATAAAAAGAAGGGCTGCTGTCAGATGCAAGGCAACATGATCCTCGTGATGAGACCCACAGCTGGAGCCCACATTGGCTCTGAAACCTGGATGGGGAACTGGTCCCCATGGGTTAATGCCCTGTTTGGTTTGCCAAGCGATGTTACCTTTAACCTTGAAGAGATCTGAGGATCAAGTTCTTCATCTGCAGAGGAGGAGGTGGTAGAAGAGGGAGAAGAGGCAGCTGCTGTCACCTGCACTCCAACAGGGATGTGCTTGGAGCCTGAAATGCAAGCAGAAGAACTCACTAAACTACTAGCTTCTTTTTCTGCTTCATGTCCCAGAGCTGCCTCCCGCTCTTCCCACACACCCTGTTTCCTTCCTCCCGCCCCCTCCCTCACTGCACCTGCCTGAAGCTTGAGGAGGCCGTACCTAAGGGCAACTGAAAATTTGGCCTTCCATGTTAATTACATTTCTGGATCCATGCCAGGAGCTTGGAAGCTCTCTCTGCACATTTTTTAAAAATACAAGGTATTATGCAGAAATCAATTAATTCCTTAAACACTCTTTACATGGCATATTGCTTGCAGTGCATTCAGAGATGAAATCTATTATTAAAATGCACGTCTGAAGTTAGCGGAGTTACCTAACTGCTTGTGTAAGGTTCGTTCTGCAGAGTAATTGAATGCAAAAAAAGTCAGAGCCAGCTCTTAAACAAATCGCCCTTCTGCGGCTCACAGCATCTGGCACCCATTTTTACTACATGACATCTGCTCAGTGTAAAAGAGCTGGCGTCAGAATGTCTGGTCATAGAAAAAAAAATCCCAAATGTAATCAGAAGCAAAAGGACTCTAAGCCTAAGGTTTTATCACATAGTCTCATGCAACATAAATATTTCATTAATTATGGCTAAACAAATGCCACTTTTATTTTCCCAACTTGCAGATATTATCACATCATTGAAGTGATGACTCAAATGCCAGGAAAGGCAGTTTAAGATAGGGATGACCCAACAATGCAGGGCCCATGGGAAAGCTGAAGTTGAGAGGTCATGCCAAACTCTGAATAAGAGGTAGATGGTCAGGGCAGCAATGTGCTTGTGTTAAACAAAATCTCTTTGTGATGGGCTGAGGACCAAGTGTGACAAGGGCTTCCAGGTGCCACAGGATGCTTTCATTCTTCTCAGCAACAACATCTGCCCCATTACATTCACTTAATGCAGAGTCAGTGACTAATACTGAATTAACCTACCCTGGGCAGTAAATAGCAGAACCAGCTAGGACTCCATGACAGGAAACTGACTCTACTCTGCCGTGTCTGCATAGAAATATGTGTTGGGTGGGTAGAAAGGAGGAGAAGCAATTCCAAGTCAGCTAACATTCTCTCCAGCCTGCCTTCTCCTCCCCATAATTTTCAACTATTCACCCCAGTGGGAGAGGCCAAGTTTTACAAAATAAGGGTAATTTAACCTCCAGGAGCACATTTACATCCACTGTTATTCAAAGCAAAATAATGCAAAACATGTATATAACAACACAGCCTCTCTGAGGAGGCAGTTCACTGTTTTCCACTTTAATTTGCCAGATGGGAAAGCTCAGGTAAAGAAAGAATCAGAGAGAGCACAGTAATAGGAGGAAGCGGTTTGTGTGTGTGAGCAGAAATTGCTTCCCAGTTTTAGCCATCAAATTACTGCAGAGGGATTGAGTCGCTGAGTATTCACTTAATGTGGGAGCTTGAGGAGCTGACTTAATGTCCCTGACTTCTCAGGATTGAGCTTTCTAAGTTGCAGTGTTGTTGTGAAAGAGGAAACAAAATCAATGCAAGGTGTTCAACACAGTACCTTGTACATTGGAGGTACTGATTAGAGGTGCTTAAGTGAATGTTGTGTTCATCGTACCCATCATTATCGTCATCACCACCATAACACCACCATCATCATTTCATCATCATCATAACCACTACCACCACCATCATTATCATCACTGTCACCACCACCATCATCACTGACCCAAATAACAACATGACAATTTACTAAACTGCCTAATTACCCTTCATTTATGGAAGTATAAACCTAAAGTTGAAACTTCTAACTTCAAAAAAAAATAAATATTTTTAACGAATTGTACTTTGAAACCAAGAGGAAAATGCTTCCAAATAATATACATTTCTTTGTATGTGTGTGTGAAACTGGAGCTTGAACTCAGGATCTACACTTGAGCCTTTCCACCAGCCTTTTTTTTATGATGGGTTTTTTTGAGTTTTTGGGTTTTTATGATGGGTTTTATGAATCATTTGCCTCTACTGGTTTCAAATGGCAATTCTCCTGATCTCTGCCTCATGAGTAGTTAGGATGATGGGTATGAGCCATCGGCACCCGGCTACAATGCATTTTTCAACCTCTGGTATGAAGGAAGTCATCCAGCAGCCTCTGAATCTCTCCCTCCTTTTCCCTCTCCATCATAGAACCAACCATTGTAGAGTTCACTTTTCATTTGCAAAGTTTTTAAGATTTTGCAGCACTGCTCTACTCTTGCTATATTAGAGTGACTGATGTTGGAATTGATTTCCTGCCACAAAGTACTAGAAATCAGGACAAAATATATGTTTCCAGACATTGGATAACAGGCAGTGCAGAACTTTGTAAAAGGCAAGAACAGAAGCCAATAAGGAAAGCCCTACAGTCAAAACAGCTTTCTGCTCAGAGGTCCTTTCTGAACCACAGTGCAGGGAGGAAGAACCTAAACAAAACAGAATAGATTCAGTGAGTTGAAAAGGCAGTTCAGAGTTTGGGCAGGCTAAGGCAGCTGGAAAGTGTGAGGCACAGCACTGGAGAGGAAGGAACTAGGCAAGGACAACAACAACAAAGAACTTCAGAAATAAACATAGAAGTCCCTTTGCATCTATTGATTAATAGCAAACTATAGATGCATAGAGAGAAACTCTGTGAGTTTGGACAGATAACTTCTGGGAAGTTGTAGGGTGAACAATCTCTAAAGCTTTTACAGGATTGAAAGGTGTCTGAGTTCTTCCTTGCCAGGGTAGCACAGACATTTGACACATTAGTTAAAAGTGTCACACTTTTCTTAAACAGGGTAAGTTAGTTCTAGGAGAGGATATTAAAGATCCAACCAAGTAAATCTTAAAAACAAGCATTGAAAGGAACACAGTGACAATCATTACTGCCTGCCAAACATTCTTTACTTATTGTTGAACACTCTTTAAATAAAAAAAAAATCTAGACACTCAACACTGCAACATTCATAAGATCTACCAGCTGGTAAATTATGACTAGGTACATATGTATAAAAGCAGGATAAGTTTGACAATCAAGAGAGAAACTGGTCAATAAAAATAGACACAGAAATGACAGGTATAATAGAATTAGGAGATAAGTATTTAAGATTATATAAATGTACTTAAAAATTTTTAAAGAATGCTATAAAAAGTCTGTTAGAACTAGCAAATAAATGTAATAAAGTTGTAAGATCCAAAATTAACATGTAGAAATTAGTAGCATTTTTTTTCTTTTTTCTAGCACTTAGCTTTTGCAGGCTAAGCACAGGCTCTGTTGCAGAGCTGCACTCCCAGCTCCAATCAGCAGGATTTCTACACATTAGCAATGGACTATATGAAAAAGAAATCACAGAAACTCATAGAATCAGAGACTCAAATGGTAGTTACCAGGTCCTAGGAGGCAGAAGTGGGGATTAGGGAGATGCTGGTTAAAGGACAGATACAATTTCACTTAAATAGGAGGAATAAGTTCAAGAACTCTATCATACAACAAAGTTTCTATATTTAATAATGTTTTATTGTGTTAAAAATTACTAGGAGAATAGATTTGAGGTATTCTCACAGCAAAAAACAAGTATGTAAGGTAATGTGTAAGTTAATTAGCTCTACTGAGCTACTCCACAAGATATACATTGTAAAGCATCACTGTGTATGTATAATTTTTTTCATTAAAATACTTAATTATAAAGACTTTAAAAATAGCACATGAACTCAATGAAGACAGAAGTAGAAGACATAAGAAAAGAACCAAATACAGCCTATAAAAATGAAAAGTAGAAAACTGAGATGAAAATTTCACTGGGTCACTTTAATAGCAGATTAAATACTACAAAGGGAAAAATAATCAGTGAAATTAAATAAGAGCAGGAGGAACTATTCAAAATGAAATACAAAGAAAAAATGAATAAGATGAACTGAAATAATGAATAGAACCTCAGTGACAAAATCAAGTAGTATAAAATACACATGATAAGAGAGTCCAAAGGAGATAGGAACAAAAAAGGCAGTCTTTGCCATGTTGTTGAAAATCATCCAAACTGAATGAAAAATTAAAACCCACAGTTCTAAGAAGCTCAATAAATTGCAAACAGGATAAACATAAAAAAAATCATGGCAAAACTCATGATAATAAAATTGCTGAAAATCAGAGACAGAAAACCTCAAAGCGGACAATGAAAATTGGCATATTGCACACAGAGAAACAAAGATAAGAATGTCCATACACATCCATCCCCTCAGAACCTAAATAAGGCAAGACAATATCCTTAAAGGGCTAAAAGAAAAAAGGAACTTCCAATTTATAATTCTATACTAAGGGAAACTATCCCCTCCCTTTAAATGGAGGCAAAATAAAGACTTTTTTGGCAGGGGGAGGAAACAAAAGCTAGAACAACTTGTTAGCAGATATACATACAAAACTGTGAGAAGTTCTGTGGTAGAAGATACTAAAGTAAATCAATAATTCCAGCATAGTAATTTCTCTTCTTGGTTTTTGACTATTACATGTAACTTAGAGAGACAGAAACATAAAGGATGAAAGAAGATACAGTCAGATGACAAGTAGAAAAAAATAGCAAGAAGGTACACTGAAAATCAATTAGATCGGTATTTTCATTAAATATATATGGCCTAAACACTATATATTTAACTTAATCTAGTTTATATTATGGAACACTTTGCCAAGCAACAGTAGATTCTGTTCAAGAGCACATGAATCATTCCCTAAGGTAGACTCTATGCTGGGCTAGAACACAATAAAGTGAAAGAGAATGAAACCATAAGATGTATATTCTTTAACTATATGGGAATTAGATCACTCATGAGTCCACAAATTTACCATAAGAGAAATTCTTGTTTTTTGTTTTTTTGGTGGTACTGCGGTTTGAACTCAGGGCCTCATGCTTGCTAGGCAGGCACTCTACCACTTGAGCCACTCTGCCAGCCCTCATGAGAGAAATTCTTGTTGGGATATAATTACATACATTTTAA